ATATATATATATATATAAGTTTAAAAAAAATAGTTTAATAATGAAACTAATTTTATTCTCTATCCTTTTACGCGAAAATTAATTTGCGTCAAACGAAAATCCGAGGCTCATTGATTAATATGAAATTATTCGTTATAAATTACATAACCTACATGCAAATGATTATAATAAATTTGAACATTTCTCCGGTAAGAGAGAGGTAGGAGAATTTTAATTAGATACAAACCACAGTGCGCAATTCTTTTCACGTATCACGTAAAAAAATATATACGCATAAGAAAATAATTATATCGCGGGAACGTAGATCGCATAATGAAACAATTACGCGGATCCCGCTTGTTTCTTTATCGCCATCGTTATGCCTCTCTCTTATCGTCCGCGGCGACGTCATGCGATAAGCAGCGCAATTTCGGCGACCTATAGCGTTACAGCGCATGCATACACCCGATTGAATTATCGATTAGCTTTTAGTTGCACGCAGCCCTGTCGCAGTATGCGGCACGCACGCAGCATACTTTGTCGCTCGTGCATTTTTAACGGTCCATTAATTCACAGTGCATGGTGATTGATGGCCGTGAGCAACCGACCATTGACAGGATAACTGTTCGCCGGCGACGGAGCTGTCGCGCGTTTAAAGCAAATTATTTGCGTCAACGTAAAGCCAGCCGTTGCCAGCATCTTTATGCATTTGTTTAATAATTTTCATATTCTTAAAATGTTACATTATTACGATTTATCTAACCTTTTACTTTTTAATACCTACCCGAGCGCGATATGACTGCAATATTTTATCAGTAATAGCGAGAACAATTTCGAATCATTACCGCGACAATGACAATGCAATGCGTACGTGAATTAACCGTTATAATGCAAAGCGCGTGTGCAGGCATATGTATGTGTGTTAATGAAGCTAATGAGTTGGTTAATATACATCACGTTCACGTATGACGTATGTCGCTCGCGTGTAATTACGCTAGTTACGAATATAACGTTGTTAAAAGTGTACTATAATTAGCGCGGAATTATTCACGACGTGGCCTGTCGAATACTGGTCGATATATTTTTTTCTTCTCTTTTTTTTTCGATGAAATTCTTCGACGGAGCGTGCAAGAACCTGATAATGCGCAGGGAACAGTCGGCATGCCGTTGAAAACGAAGTTTACGGCGTAGGAAGAAGAGAGGTCAAAGTTTACTTATGCTGGATTATCTGCTCGACGACCCCGTGAACTTAAAGAGTTGAGAACGAGCTTACAGTATATATTATGCATTTCGAGTTTGAAATAACTGCGTTAGGAGCGAAGCTACAGCCGTCTCTAAGAATAAAGCCGCAGCTATTTCTTGAAACGTAATTATATTTGAATTTAACAGTCGTCCAAATTTGCAATGTGGAGATGAAAATTACAGGAATTAAACTGTTGACGTTGCAGCGATGATCAACTTTATAATCTTTGGTTCCGGCTTTGAAAACACTAAAATATTTTCGATAATCGCGAATAGTAAAAGATACAAAAAGCTTTGCAGGATGCTGTGTGTGTGTACAAATACAATACAATTTTCCTCGCTGTTAAATTATAACTGTTCTGCGCTTTCCAATTTTAATTTAAACTTAATGTAATTGACGATGACGCCAATAAATGTATAAAGAAGCGTGCTCGCGAAGAAGAATATTAAATACTTGCAAGAATATTAAATAATTTCAATTCAATCTTCTGACAGAGAAGACTATCACGAATGCACATGTGAAATTTGCGTCGCGGAGAGAACGTCTCGGTGACAAACAAGAGATCCTCTGTTCACGCCCATCTCTTTTCATGTTACAGAAAAGCCACCGCAGCGTTGCGCGTATCCGTCCTGGGTGGTGGCCGGTAAATCGTGGGTGGCTTTGGATCGAATGGCTTCCCGACTCCTGGCGTCGCCTTACAATCTCACGATCCTCGACCGAAACGAGACTCGCCTTATTTGCCATTCGGTTGTTACCATTGACGATCATCGCTATCACCATTCGACGCCAATCGATAGAGAGAATCAGAAGCAATTCGTCGCAAAGGCAACACGGGATTGGTAAGTCTATTCATAGCATCTGTATAGAGGAAAAGCTAGGAGAGTACCAGATAATGTGGTGATTCAAAACAGTTAGCAGAAACTGAAAAGAAAAATGGTAGAAGGTGTCTTGGACAGATTCTTTCACTCTTTCTTCCGCTCCGCGAATTGTGAGGGACATTATTAAAATGTCTACATTTTGCACGAAAAGGGAAGAAAGCGTTCGCCTTCATTCGACTAAGAATAATTTTGCAGTTCACGGGAACAGGAATAATTATCAGAGAGGCGCATAATATGATAATCGCAAGCTTTCGTTTAGTGTGCTCATGTAAAATAAACGATACAAACACGGAGAGCTACTACTTTCGTCTGTGCGGCATCACTTTCCCGAATATGTACATAGGTGTGTGTGTGTGTGTGTGTGTGTGTGTGCACCGAAATGTCAATATAGGTCCACCAGGTACTCTCATTAAAGCATTCGTGCGGGCGAGTTCGCGCGACGTAACGTATCGCTTTTAATCGCTCGTGTACATGTACGAGAGGCCTGGTCCGGTTATTCGCGCCCCACTGCCGCCGAGAGTACGATTCATCGTTAAAAGCTGAGATAAAAGTGCTTATTGGAACGTGTTTGTCGAACACATCCGCGGGAACACGCTAAAGTGTTTACTACTCGCCGGAGCACACTGGAAAGAATCGGTCCAGAAAACTCGAAGGCCGATCTGATGTTTTTCTTCGCCCGTTCCGCAAAACTCAAGCGTGTCTAAACATTCGTTGTTTGTCGAGCGAAGATAAATTTCTTACTCCGCTACTAAGTAAAGAGGGGATAATTGCCGAGAGGATCTAAAAAAAGTTTCCTTGATTGCAAAATCATTTCTTTTTTAATTGACTGCACAGAATTATGCAAGCTTAACCTTAAATGAGTCTGGCCATATCACTCTAGGTATAGCTTGCTTTAAAACCGTATTCTCAGAAAGGAAAATAAAGAGTATTACTCAGATATCCAGTCTTAAAATTCATTAATTTTGCATTCCTTTATTTTATAAGGATGTAACTAATGTAAATTTAATGTAACATATTTCTAGTACACTAGAAAAAAATGTAATTATACACTGAAAAAAAACTAAGTTTTAATAAGTACAATTTGTTAAATATATAAACGTATATTTTATTTAGTACAAGAACTATTAATTTAATTTATCTATTATTTTTTTATTGAATAAATATTTACTACAAATTAATATTTATTTAGCATTATATAAAGAAATATGTATTTATATTTAGTAAATCTTTTTCAGTGTAAAATTAAAATTTTTTTCAATATCTGAGCACTCCACCTATCAACTTAATAATAATAACTTTATTGATGTGTAGTAACAATCAAGAAATAATAAAAGAGCAAGATGTGATAAATAAAGTTTCATAGTCAAAAGATGATATTAACAATATATTAATGCTGCTTCTAAGAACTTAAATTTGAACAAAAAATAAAGAAAATAAAACAAGAATTACTTGCGTTTAAATCACCTAGCTACTCAAAAGTTAAATAGTGATGAATTTTTGTGACTATCTAAATATTCATCATCTTCATTATTATTCTTTAACATATATGCTTTGAATAATAACTAGGTACTCGAATAAGAAATACATGATTAGTAAAAATAATGCAAATTGACGGCGCGCTCAATAAAATGTGATTACATTCAGCAGACATACTGTCTCTTCTTCATTTATTCCGAAGAAACTCGGTCAAGCGTAACTTCTCAGCGATTAATATCCTCACTTAGGAAGGTCCCGAGAATAATGTCGCGGTACGGGCGCGACAGCTGCTCGATGAATTCCTTTACTTAGATATCACGATATTAAGATGACGCGGAGCGGAAGGGAAGCAAGAAAAGAAAGAATTACTTTCCTCGCATTAAACGGCGTCTGATTGAGCGCAAAGCCTTACTACTTAGCCAGATCGTAAATAGTGTTATTTTAATTCACATTTTATTACTCTTGTATAAATTTACGTAGTCATAGATAATTGTATGAAATCAACGCGATGATTATGCGTTATACTATTATGTTAATACATTAATATCATACCATATATAACGAGAATTAATTCCCAAATTATATGACGCTGCAATGAAAAGCATTACGTAAAATAATTGCCTTTTAAACATATTTCTAAGCGAAATTTGACATGAAATTTATCACTTGTTATGTTTTTGTTTTTACTGAACCATTTTTGAAAACCGCGTATTTCTTTTAACGTCACCTTAGAAAGATTTTTTTATGCCGTACCAAGGAACATCGACAATAAAAAGCGACGTGCCATTTCTCCCGCTTGCCTATCTTACATCTTGTTCTTCGTTCCAGGGGATTTTATTATCCGCGTTACACAATTCTTTCAGTTTGATGCGCGGCGAATAATTACTACGGGGGATGGAGGGGGAGCATCGGTGTTAAGCGTTTACTACTTTTGCGAGCTGGGAGGAGATTGAGCACGACACGAGAGAGGCGTAAAAAGAAAAAAAAAAACGTAATTCTCTCGTCGACTTATGCCCGCCGCGTCGTTCATCTCGTTTTCATCGTTTTTCGATTCACGTTTCTTCGCTAGCTCGCGGGAACGAACGACTCGGACTGCTTTTGCCTTGAGAACTTCGGCAAGAGTCGGTAACTTTCATAGTTTCAGTGTCATCCTTCATCGGTTGACCGAACGTACGTTTCCGTTATTCCCGGAAACGTACGAAGGACACAAAATTTGACACCAAATTCTTGAAGAAACTAACCCGCGCGTGTCTCTCCTATTCACGTTACACGACACAGCTCCGATGAAAAAGGTTGAAATTACGATAGCAAAATGAGGATATCGATTGTCCACGTTTCCTTCTTTTCATTAAAGATCTGACGAGAGATATTCTTGAACTCGGTACTAAGTGATAGAAATTATAGTTAATCACTTCCGCGAACGCTACGTCAAAGCGATACTGCCCTGACGCGCCAGCTTGCGTCATTATTTAAATCTCTGAATGTTTGTCGGGCAAAGAAATAAGTGCATGACACGGCTGCTAATATTATGCCAGGGAAATAACCTACAATCTTCCCATCCATCGACCGCTATTTCTGTGCCTTGCACGGAACGATCAGCCGAGTCTATATCGTGTACATTCACATAAGTGCTGAAGTCTTATAGATGTTGTATTATACTATTGCATAATATTAGGACAAACGAAAATGACGAGCAAGCATAGATCTTTTATTAACCGTCCGCCGGCAATATGAATTTTAACTCTTCCGTCAGGAATAGAGGCACAATTGTTTCTGCACAATTTGCAGAAACAAAGCAAATTTTGTATCACTCTGGATTCTATAAAAATCGGAAAAAATTCTAGTGCACTCGTCAAAGCATTAACGAGTTATAACCATCATAAAAGTTGGATTGTACATATTTTACTTATTTTTTATGGATTTAAATTTATAGAAATCAGATTATATTTTACTTATTTTTTATATAATACATTTAGGCCCGATTGCACCAATGCTACTGTTTTAAGTGAGGCTTAAAAATCTTTTTCTTTTTTTAAAGACGGTTGAGAGACAGAAAAAGAGAGAGTTTTAAGCCTCGCTTAAAGTTAAAGTAACATTGATGCATCGGGCCTTATTCTTCAACTATAGCTATGAGAAGTAGATTTAAGTTCTAAAGCATTCTATTTGAAATACAAAATGTGAGTAAACTTAATTCGCTTTACGGTAATTGATAGAAGAAGATTCCAAGTTTTTTTTATCTACAATTTAGATTCTTACAGTACCAATCGTACAGATTGTGCAATCGTCTAAAGGTTTTGCTTCGGGTCCAAATTACTGTTGCTGTATAGTGGAGAATTAAATTGATTTATCAAAATTCACAATTATAAAATATAGATAGGTACCTTTAAATATCCTAGTTGCTGGCTTAAATCGACAATAAAATGTGTGGAAATTTTTCACAGAATTTCTCGACGAATAAAAAGGACAAGAATTTTTGCGGAATGTTAATTAAAAATCAGTTATGATCGGTCTAATTCTCTTCTCCGCGATGGATATTAACACTTTTCGTACAATTCGTCTTCAACGCCGCGAAAGAATTTCTGCAATCGCGGGGAACACGTATCATTCTCGAGACGCTACTTGCGGATTCTCGTTTGATGCCCGTCATATCGTGCTTGTATGGTGTGCAAGTGTTCGCCGCCGGAATTCTCCTTATTTCGCGGAATCTTCCCCCAGCCTGATCTTCTCGCGCTTTAATATACCCGCGATTACGCGCCAGCTCGCGACTTTATGAGAAACGCCGTCCGGGATTCGCGTTTCCCTGCTACGCGCGACGAGAAGAAGATGAAGAGCCTGGTGGCCGTGTAGACGGGCGAATCGGGAGAGGCAGAGGGGTATTCTTTTATATGTCAGGGAGCAGATTTCGTGAATTCATTTTTGTGGCGGATGCGCATGGAAGAGACGCGGAGAAAACGGTTCGTCTGCGGGGGAAATGACGCGATCGACGAAGACATCCGGCCCCGAATCGCGGATAAACGTTTATATCTTTTTAAGATCGATATTTATGTCACCGTCGTTGAAAACCGGTATTTTTCACGTACCTAAGACAACAGAGCTATTATTCTCAACGGCTGTTTGAAAAATGTTATTGATAATGTAATCGATTTAACTTATATCATTTTTCGGTTGTTTACTGCAATGAATCATAGTGGATTAATTTTCATCACTTTTACAAAAGTTATTACTTTAACATCTTTAAAGTAATTTGTAAGAAAGTATCTGTAAGCTTGTATTAAGAAAAATTATATATATATAAATATTATAACTAATTATTTGGTGCTTCTATATATTGATAAAAATTAATTATATCAATTCTGGAATTATAAATGGATTTAATCAGAAAATTCTGATTTGTCCATTTTCAACCAGAATTATAATTAATGTAATCAAAGCACATTTCTGTGTGCAGAGAAATTAAATGTATAGGTCGCGAATAATCCGATCAT